GTGGACCGGAAAAGCTGGGAATCGAACCACCAACTCTCCAGTTATAAGATGACCTGCTCTGCCTCCTGAGCTGAACTGTGATATAAAAGTATCATAGTCAACAAAATGATGAGACAATGTTTGCACGGCAGAGAAATGTTTCTATATCCACATTGTATTTAAGAACAATAGCTCTTTAGCACTTGTGTTAGAGGCCCTAAAAAGCAAGGTAAAGGTAGGGTCATTTGACCGCCATACTGTACATGAAATTACTCCCTCTGAATTCTTTATGACAGTGAGAATTGAATTTCTAACAATAACATAATGACTTGGCATAATCCTGTCGTACGTATGGACCTAAAGCTCTAAGACCAGCATGCGTTTCCATCACGAGGAGGAGATAAGAGAGAGTTTAATGGGATTAGAGTTAGTGGTGTATCTGTGATTGAGGCAGCTGCTAACCACTGTAGAGTAAAGGAGATCAGCTTTCTGTGCCCTCTTAAGGGATGAAGGCATAAGAAAAGGACAGACATGACTCTGTGACAAAATATCAACTTATTTCTAATGGTATTATAATCCTGCATTGTATTTATTTGTGTCTTTGGACTAGGTTTCTGTTCTTGAACCTGTTTTGATTCAGTAATACAGGCCTTTATAAGTGAAAGTCTGGCAGAGTGGAGGTTTACACTTAATACATTTGTTTTTGTGTGGGTGTTTGTTAGATAAGCTGAGGAGGAGCATGCCTAACCTAGTCCGAGCCCCCAGCATGCCTAGTGTGCCCGTGCCAACTAATTTCGGCGCTTCTCCTTCTTTGCTTCGTAATAGTCTGAGTTTTGATTCTTCTTGTGGACTTGCTCAACCACAGCCCTCCAGTAAGATTGAAATTCTCTTCTTTCAAGTTCTGTCCATAAAATTCTGCCATAAACTTTAAGGAGCTGTTCATTAATTGTTGGCTTCTTTGCTGCTTGTACATTTGTTATGCCCTCCCCAGGCCAGCTGCAGAACAGGATCCAGAGTGTGGGGAACTTCTCTGCCTTGTCACGGCAACCACTGAAGGCCACCGCCTACGTCAGTCCCACCATCAAGCGCTCAGCCTCCACACCAACCTCAACCCTCCTCCCGTCTTTGAGCAGCAGCGGGAGTGCCACTGGGGTCGGCAGTGGCATCCCCCTGCTCAGTAAACTGGCCGGTGGAACCATTCCTCGCAGCAGTCTGCCCCGCCCAGCCTCCTTTGTGGGCTCTACAAGCTCCACCTACCGCAGCAAGGGAGTCCAACCGGCGCGAAGGTAAATCCTAGTTTTGCACAAATGTATTTCACTCCTTACAACTTCAGCTATGTGTCTGGAACAACAGACCCTCCAGCACCGCCCCAAGTCATGAGACTTGAGTATTTCTGTTTTCTGCTACT